GCTTGAAAGCCAGGTGAAGTCGGTTTCCTACAAGGATCCTGGGAACGCCGGGAGCATGCTGAAGGAAAAGGAAATCCTCTTATGATTCTCTTGATAAGGTGTTCCCGTCCCTTATATTGTCCAAAAAAGCAACACCCAAAGACAGGAATCGATTTTCTTGTCTTGTATTTGTGTGACAAATCATTATGAAATAACGTTTAAAGGTAAAAAGGAAGGAAAGTGATTCATGCTTTCCAAGGTTTCTCCCAGAAAACTTACTAAGCCTGAGGTTTGGGTGCTACGGCAGTCATTCATCCAGAGGTCCACTGTGTTGTTGAGTTAAAAATATTTAAAATTGACAGAAAACTTGAAAATATCACTTAATAATTATGTGTCATTGAAAGATTGGAAGATTAATACCTGAACACAAACTATAAACTCTTAAAAAATGCAAACATTTAAAAAGACTTAAATAAATAAGCAATGCTAAGCCTGGTGGGGGCACAAGAAAAGCCTGGTGGCCCGCCAGGCTTATAATACACTCTGGGAAAACCTGCTTTCAAAATATTTTACAAATAAAAATCTGAAAAGTTTGGCACGCAATTACCTTCAGCAACCCTGATTTGATGCAACAGATTGTCAACTGGGTCTGAACTTTGACTAGGCTGTTCTAAAGTATGCTTCTTCTACGTCACAAGTATTTACTAATTGGATGTAGCACAAAAATACCAATAACTTGTATTGACTGCGGTCGTAATGTGGGAGAAATTCCATGAGAATGAAAATGTTAGCAATCCACTGTACTTTCAGTATCAGTACATGTTTCTCACATACTATTTTTCTGTCAACTGTGAATGGACCAAAGCGATTACCTCATCAATTTCCCGGATCCATCGATCTATCCCATCAAACGACCAGGCGTTGGTGATGTCATATACAAGCAGGATGCCCTGTTCAGAAAAAAAAAAAATTATACAAAGAGGTTGAACATGCACAGGATCTCACCGGGAACAAGGATGGAGAAATATTAAATGATCTGCAAAAACTACATTTGTGCAAAAAGGCATGCATCAGCTTTTAAACAAACGCTAACAAGTAAGTCATTTACCTGCTGCTGGGTTCCTGTCACTTTCAAACTTGAGAAAAAACTTATTTTTACCCGCAACATTTAACAAACTTTACCTGTGCAGTTTTAGTGGTGATACCACTAACCATCAGACATGAATCCACACCAGCATTTAAGAAACGAGGCCAGTCACCATGTTGCATGAGAAAAGCAGATCTACCTAAGCTGTATTATCTATTGTGCAGGTAAATGTTGGAACCTTTTAAGAAACAAGTTAAAATTGCTTTCGGGATTACCTGTGCTCCACGAGAGTAAGACCTGAAGATGGTGCAGAATCTCCCTTGGCCGGATGTGTCCCTGTTGAAGGCACAGATGAGGCCCCGTGCATTTTTAAATACCATACGAAGCTACAACACCAACAAACTGCTCCTTGAATGATGCCGAGGTCTCACCAGAGCTCCAATTTCACCCGTCTGCCGTCCAGCAGGATGGTGGTGGTCTTGTAATCAATCCCTGAAGGCACACACATTGAGTTTATGTCCCATCTGGCGCCTCTGACGGGGTGAATAAGAGACACTTACCGCTGCTGTAGGCGTACGGAGACTCGACCGATCCGTCCTGCAAACTCTCCAGGATTTCTCCTTTTCCCACGTCGCTGTCCCCCACGAGAAGAAATTTCAAGAGATAATCGTAGCTCTTGACGGGGCTGCTTTGAGTTCCCATCATCCCACGCATTGGATCTGGTTCGCTGAGAGCTTCACGAGCTCCCCGGATTCTGTGCGCTGTTCGGGGGGCGAGCTGGAGGGCTCCCCAGAGGGCCAGCGGACGCTAGCCGATAGCCGCTAGCACTGGCTAACGAGTTAGCTGGTATTCGAACTTGAAGAAATTAATTTCTCTCTGCGGCTTAATCGTCCAGCTATATTTCCCACTGCACTGAAATGCAAACTATGATGATGGACGTGGAGACTGTCTTGTTTTAGTAAATTATCAAAACAACAACATTGGCTGCTAGCTCTCCCGTTAGCAAGCCAGCTAACTTAAACATTAGCGCCGCATTCCTTGACGAACTGAAGCCGTGACGTTAAAACTGACCGGTTTAAACTAACTTGTGGCGGCACACGAACAAACCAAATCAGAGTTCGTCTCCACTCAATCGCGAAAGACTAAATAGCCGAAGTGAAATGACGGGGCCTCCCCGACTCCAACGACGCTGTGATCGGACTATGAGGGAACAACCAGGCAGTGACACCATTCACTGCGTCATTTCCGGTAAGTTAAATTCAAAATAATGCTAAAACTTTTGTAGAAAATATGATTGTTGTTTGACAGGGTTAGGGTGGTATATATATACTCTGCCATATCTCTGGTATATCTATCTCAAAGGAGCAGTTTTGGATATATATGAAATGAAGCATAAGAGAAGACATTTGACCCTCAGTCTCTTTAAAAAGCTGATGACGCCACAATTCTTCTGTATTATTCCGTTTACAACGAGCCTTAGGAGTATTGGACTGAGAAGTAGTTTGTATGATGAGCTCAGCAGATGTGTAGTTCCACCAGGGAGTTGCTAATCCCTGCTGGCGCTAGTCTGGAGGAGTTGGGAGGGAAAGGCTTGTGGGAGGGGTACTCCGTGTGGCTCCAAGGAAGAGTTTTGTGAGTGCAAGGAGTCCTCAAACATGCATAAAAGAATCAAAGCAACACTCCGGGTATGTTTTTGATGAGGGATCAAAATTATAAAACAATATAAAGCTCAAAAAGTAAATTTTACACAATACTTTCCAGCCCCCTTAAAGATCTTCTTTATAATTTCAAACAAGATCTCAGTAATAATTCAAATTATTGAGGTAATAACTGAAATTATTATCTCAATAATTTCAATTCAAGTATTGCTGATTCATGTTGATATCTCATCATTTGTTAATGTTTGTTTTTTTACATGTTTATTTGATTTTATTCATTTGCACATATATGTTGACCAGCATCAGAAAGATTTAGCTGTCAGCTACATTCAGGATTGTTCTATGGTTCTGTATGTTTTTCCTGTAGATCAAATTCCATATATATTGCATTTATTGTATATACATTGATAAAATTTGTAATATATATGAGACCCACAGGAAGACCCAGATGTTTTAGTGTTTTTCAGCAGTCCTCTCCAGATTGCAGATTGTTGAAAACCTGCCATTTTTTGGGCTGAAAATGGTTCTTTCAGATGCTGGGCTTGTTCTGATGATGTTTTGCTTTCCTCAAAGTTCCAGAGTCTGATTCAGAAAGAGAGCAGATAGTGACACCTGAAAAGGAAGAGGAAGCAAAGCAACTTATGTTGTTCAAAGCCTAGTTGTTGCCTGCCTCAGCCGATGATTCCTCCAGAGACGGATCAAAGAAGCTTTCTGAATATCTCAACGTTCTTGTTTCCAGTGATCACAGAAAAGTTCTGAGGCCTGAAACTATGATTAGAAGATATCTCATCTGGCTCTACAGAGTGTTTCTGGGTATTCCTTCCACTCTTCCAAGTGATGAAGGCGTAGCAAACAAACTGGAGCTAGTCGAAGTACGATGTTATCTGGACAGAATATACACAAGAGCCAAGAAGGAGGTCTTTAAGTTTCAGGACGTAAATGCAAATATTTAACAGCAGTAAGTTCTCCAATGAACCATGCTAAAAAAAGATTACCACTATCTACTGTACACTCTAAAAACTGATTATTAAATTCCAGAGGAGTAAAGATTTAACCTGAATTGTTTGTTTTTCTTGGTTTTCTGAACATTGTCTCACATACTGACTGAAGTCAACTGCTCCAGTTTTAAGGGAAATGCCATTTGGCCCCTGCTAAGTAAATATTAAAGGCAATACTTGTTCCTTCAGGTGATAAGACCTCTCATTAAACACGAGCCCATTGTTGAGTCAAATACATCTTCCATAAGTGTTTCTTTTTAATTGTTACAGATGGTTTCACTCTTACAAAGTCAGTTTTCTTCCAAAACTCCAAAGGCTTAGCAGACAGTCCCACCAAAGAGCAGTTTCACCATTTCTCCTCTAGATGGTAGGCTTTTTCAAGCCAGACTTACAATCCCAGCTTCCTGTTATAGTGAGAATGGAAGAAAAGCTCTTTTTTTTAATTTTCTTCAGAAGCACCACCAGGGGGAGCCATGCAGGGAGGTTCAGCCAAGTGTCCCCCTACTCAGAGTGCTTTAGATGTGCTGTTGCACACTGTAAAACAAAAGATGTGCTTTAATAATGAGATGCATTGTCTAGCAGGAATTTTATTTGGAGGTGAATGTAGCGCCACCTACTCCATGCCCAAAGCAGAACACTTGCAATTATAACCATGCCAGTAAGTTGCTGAACTTGCCTGCGGTGGATTTTATTAGCAGCTGCAGACATGTTTTAGTGCAGAATTATAGAAGCTTTGACAATCTTTTGAGTGGATAATCCTGTTTGTGCACCAGATGGAAGAAGCTCTATGGAAAGGACTGAGTGTGCAACTGCTGTGAATGAACATCCCCATCAGCAGGGTAAAATGGAGTTCTCAAACTATGGCATGGAAAATCCTTTGCACAGACTTGTAATTAACTCTTAAGTAACTCTGATCTTGAGTTGGGTGAAAGTTAATGCTGGTGATGGAAGCCCCCTTTGAAATAAAATTACAATCTTGCAGAATAAAAATAGCACTCTGTAATAAGTTAACATTTGGAATATGACGCATCTTTTTACCCAGAAGGACCCAAGGAAATAATCTCCAGTTGCTCTTGAAAGATTGACTTTGAAAGTAAAGTTTAATTTAAGAAGTTGAATTTGATGGTCTACTGAGGTCTCCTCAAAAGGACCACAGAAACAAATGTACTTCAAAGACTTTGATGTCTAAAATGTTGTAATAATTTATTTCAAATAAATGCTTTACACATGGACTTATCACATGATATACCGATACTTTATTATTTAAATACAGTTATATCTAAATAGATTAGATCACCAACAAAACTTTTTTATTTTAACAATTTGGTTCAAATGTGGATGAGACTGATGTATTTCAAGGTCTTTATCCTTTGTTAATTTATAGGATGAAGGCTTACAGAAGCAGGAAATGCAAAATTCAGTTGGTCAGGAAATTACCTAATGCATTAAACGTTCCAATTGTGAAATGTTGCTCAATCACAAGGAAGACTGAGTTGACAGTAATTCAGCAGACAGATGACTGGACTCTCCCCAAGGCCAGTAAGCCACAAAAAGTAACGGCTAAAGAACCTCATTGTTCAGAGTCCTGTAAGAAAGCATGTAAATGAGGAGTTGAGAGGAAGAAAATAAAGTCACCATACAAAAAAACGGGGACAACAGAAACCTGTGTCTGCAGGTGCAGGACTATCAAGCACCATCAAGTCCAAAGTTCCTTTTGATTAGGCTCCCTTCTTGTTATTCTGTAATTAAGATGCACCTGCATTTATACAATTATTTGAAAAAATAAAAAGTCTGTCTAACTGTACACAGTTTTAAGCAAAGGATTTTGTGCCAGCCTGAGGTTGAGCAACATATTCATGTATCAACATGTGGGCATTTTGAAACATCTCCTGGAAATGCATGACGGCATTCTTATATGCACAGTAATCTTCCACAAAGACATGAAACAGGTTCACTGGTTTTGCTTTGCAGATTTCTTGAGGTAGTCCAGTGACCTCAGCCAAGGGGTTGCCAACGAGAATGTGGGTCAGGTGCTTCCTCTTAAGACTTTCCTCCACAAAGCTCAGCAGGTCTTGTAGCCTAGAGGTCGCAGAGTTTGGTTGCCACTGCGATGTTTTTTTGGCCAGCAGAAGGTGCATCAATGCCATTTTGATGTGGATGTCCTTTAGTGCAGTCTTCCCTGTCAGCGCTTCCTGTCTCCTGTGAAGGAAGAAGGCAATTTCGAGAACTTGATCATGACAGGAGTTCGCAGGGAGGCGTTTGGAGAGATGTTCCAGGAGGCGGTCTTCATAGACGGAGAGCGACAGTGCCCAGAAAGTGTCCACGTCACTGGAGGTCCAGGGTGTGATGCAGAAATGAGCTTCTGTGTTGAACTTAACCACCGGCTTCAAGCTGAAGTTGATCTTCTTCCCTGACTTGAAGCGAACCACCAGAGCGCCTGGAGTTGCAACGTAGCCGATGCTGAGCTCAAACTCGTATTTATGCGAGATCTGTGTCCAGGCTTGTTTGACTGTGTTCTGAAACCACCGGGTGATCTTCGATTTTGACAGAAAAGGAGTGTTCTTGCTGCACAGCGGTCCATTGAAAGCATCAGCCACTTTTGTTTTTGCTTTGTCGCTCTCAGGATGCACCAGGCAAACCATGTCGTCTGCATCGACGGACTGGCAGGGGCAGCCATTCGGGACTTTCTCTTCTTTCAGCAGTTTTATCTGACCGCAGACTTGAATGTCCAGCAGCGGATCACTCACCGGGTTGTTCCTGAGCAGGCAGTGGACACTGTATGGTTTGCATGGAGCAAAATGAACGATGATGTGACGCTCTTTCACCATCTGAAAGTCCTCAATCAACATGCTGCTGTTGTTTTCACAAACCGTCCTCATGGCCTCCAAGAGGTCATTTGCAAATCCTTCCAAAAAACCCTTCTCCCTCAACATTTTCTCAGCAGAGGCCTGAACACATTGAGCATAAAAGCTCTGCAGCGTTTCAACGTCAGGTAGCGACACTTTAGGAGATCTGCGGGGGGGGATCCTGGTCTCCTCCTGATCTGTTTGGAGATTTCTCTTCAGGTATTTCCTGAAGAAGCGCATTATGGAAATGATGGAGAATGTGTTCCAGATGTACCAGAGATAATCCCTCTCCCATTCTGCAATACCTCCATCTGAGGTTTCGTTTTCTGTCTTGCTGTAGGCATATGAGGCAGGTGAGTCTCGATCTTTTGGATGGATCGTTGCTCCTTCTGACGTCTCATAATGTCCCTGCAGGCCATCTTGTTCTGAGCTGCCACTTCTAAAATCTTCTCCCTCCTGATTGACAAGATTTTCAGTCAGATTCACGGTAGTGGATTTACTTGTCATGTGTCCCACTGGTAATTTGGGATCAAAAGTTCCTCTTTCAGCAACAGCCGCATCTGTGTCCAATGGTTCATCTTTGTCATGTTGATTGGACTGATTCTGTTGCTCTGGATTGTTATTTATGTCACCTTGAAGTTCTTTTATTTTGTCACTGACAGGTGCTGATGGTTGGACTAGTTTCCCTTCCCCTTCCAGCAGCATCTGTTCATGCTTTTGCAAATCCTGGTCGACGGCGTCGTCCCATTCCTCAACCCCAGGATTATCCCGGGGACACAACAGAAGACCAGCAGCCACCACAAACACTCGCACCAGAGTATCTTGCATCATCTGCGCAGCCTGGGAAGGAATACGGAGGCAGCGATTAGTTCACTTTCAAATACAGCTCAAATTCATTTTAACCTTGTAATTTACTTCATTGCAATCCCAAAACATTATTTGGTGATAATATGATTTGGACATTCATTACTTTTGCTATATTAACATTTTTTTCCATTCTTATTTTCAAAGTAGCTCAAGCTTAGTCGGATTGTGTGGAAAAAGTCTGTGAATATCCATGTTCAACATTTTTTCTAAATATTACAGTTATATTTAGATTTGGACCATCAAACTGTTCCACTGTGGCTTTGATGATTGTCCTTCTGGAAGGCAAACCTCCACCCCAACCTGCAACCGATGTCGCGTTTCCTTCCCCATCTTTCAACTCTGACGAGTTAGCCTGTCTTTATGAAGACAAGCATTCATCATTTAGCATAATCCTGCTAAGAAGATGTTTTGTGGTGCACATGATGTTTTCAGGGTGTAAGTTTTCCACCACATGCAGCATTCTGTAGGTCATTTTAGTCTGGTCTGGCCTGAGTTGTGTTGTTTGGTCTTCATGATGCTGTTTGTTCTCCAATGTTCTCTAACAAACGTCTACAGTCGTCACAGAGCAGCTGAAGTCATGTAGAGATTTCTTAACATTCCACCCAGGAGGAATGTTCACTAACTAGCTGACTTTTGAATGTAGCTGGTTGCACAAGATTTCATCTAGGGGCATAAAGGTAAAGGGTGCTGAGTACATGTGCACACATGAGTTTTATAGCGTAATACATCAAATCAAATAAAATAAAATCATTCATCATTTTTCATGGGCAGACTTTGTGTTTTTGTCTACCACACGAAATCACCAAGAAGTCAAAAGAAGTTTGCAATGTAACAAAATGTGAAAAAGCTCAGGAGTTATAAATACCCTTGTAAGGTAAGAGTTAAAATTGTAAATAATAATAATAATTCTTTGTAACAGCATTCTAGTTTTCTAAGAAAAAGATGCTACTGGTAAGTTTCACAACGATGCAGCCAAAGAGGGAAGCAAGTAACTTCCTGAATGTGTTCAAGCAATGCTGCATTTATCTCTTTATTAAATCCTGTTGGGTGTTTTCAAATCAAGCACTCTGCACTATTATGTAGAAAACATGTCAAGATTAAATAATCATACACACCTGAATGAGAGAATGTTTATCTCAGCAGTCGGATGTTCCGGTAACACGTGAAAAGGTACAAAGGAGGAAACGACCTTATGCTGCCACTTGCTCTGACATCTCTTCCTATTTAGTCGAAGGTTCAACTTATTTCCTGCTCACGTAACCCCATGTGTTCTGCTTCGACACTTTCCTGTGCAATATGCAAAGCAAAAGGTTCGAGCTGACTTCCTGAAACTGCCTACTCATTTCACATGTAGTGCCAAATGTAGATGATGCAGCCACACTGGCTGAAACCAGAAGTTTTCATATACTGTTTAAAAACTCAACTTTTTTCCCCCGTGTTTTTGACATAAAGGAATTTTTTTTCCTGTTTTTCATTATTTAGGATGACTAAAACTATCTCTGTTTGCTAAATGTCAAAAGAACTTGTTCAAGTTGGAAGAGTACAGATCGCTGTGCATTTAAACAATCCAGGAAAATCTTCACCATAGTTTGTAAACTAAAACAATGAAAGTGAAAAAGAAGCTGAGATTTCAGTCAGGAAATGAAAGTTTGGGCACAAATGGGCCTTTTAATGACAACAATGATTCTAATCATGGCCGTCAAAGATTTGTGGGCAGGCGTGAGCCAATATGCTATGAACCTGACTTAGAAACCGAGAACATTAGACCCATGTCACACAGTTTAAAAGGCAAATCTAAAACAAAGAAAAATGAAGTTCAATCCAAATTTCTCTCATTATTCTGGCATTTAGCACAGAGAAAATAGCTTTGGTACTCCTGGCCATCCTAAAACAGATCAAGTTTAGTCTGATTCAGTCTTAGACAGTGAGAAAAATGGATTATGTTTCTTTTTAAACAGAGTAAATATATGTCCGGTTTCAATTATATACAAATGCAAAGACTCCACAGCAGCCTGCAGAGGTGATGCCAAATAATGAGGATCTCCCACGGGTTTAAAATGTATCTTCTGTCATCGAAAGGTACCAAAACGTCTCAAAGCGTTTCAGATTTAAATAGAAAACTTATGGTTTTTAATGTCGTTATTGGTCTGAGACTAATTCAACCAGAAGACGAGTATCTGAAGCTCCCGTTGAGAATTGATCTAAAACAATGTAGTCTTTTTAAACAATATCTGCCTGTAAACATTGTGAAATAGTAATTCCTGTTTTGTTACTATTTGCAGCCACAATAACTAATCAAGTTTTAAGCCGTAAAAAAGCTATGGTTTTGTGTTTGCTCCGTGTTATTGGTGGTTTTGAATAATTTCTGCTGTATTTCCAGCGTTAAAGATTTACCTGAGCATATTAACAAACGGTGAGCCTTTATAGTCTTTGTCTAGAGTGTCAATGGAAATGAGGTGTTTCTTAATGTGGCGCTGTTTGTGTTACATAAAATCAGTGTACACAAATCTTTGACTCAGAGAAATAATTTTCCTGGTGTCGACAATCAGTATCAGGTTACAGACAAGTGCATTAAATGGCTAGTGTTCATGAACAGTGGAGTGAACCGCTGCCTTTTATCTTCTTGTAGGCTTAAAACTGGTTTGTCAAGCTTCAATTTGTGGATCCATATGAATTGAAACTCCTGTGTAGGATATATATATATACATATATATATATATGTGTGTGTGCGTGTGCGTGCGTGCGTGCGTGTGTGTGTGTGTGTGTACTATACTATATATAGTGTAGTTGAAATAGTTATATATAACTATTTCAACCTGATTCACTCTCATTTCTACTCCAAGCAAATGGAAACAGATTCACTCTTTTCCTATGTGACTGCAACCAAATTTTCCATCCAAAGCCACAGATATTTGAATAGTTTGAACGTTTGTTTGCATGTCTGGCTTGTTGTGGTGGGGCAGGAACAATCCAGGCACTCTCACTGATGGGATTTATTGGATTGACACAGAAGCACTTTGCTTTTCATAAAATAATGCAGAAACATAGAGCTAAAAGAGAGGGGGGGGGGGGGTTTGAAATAAAGAGTGGAAGATATTCACAGGCTTCGTCAGGTTTACGTTTGAGAGAATATATTTTCTCAAATCACTGTAACACAGTGAAGGGAGGAGCTTGATGACAGGAGCATAGGTCAGGTCTGAGTTTCACCAGAGAATCACTTCTCAGTCAGCCAGGTGCAGATGTACGCTGCATATAAACAGAGCCACAGGACACTCACTATGGACATTATGGTTATATGACAAGTTTATCTTTTCAGCTGTTTATCCAAGTATAAATAACAAGGTAAGTGTGAAGTTAATATGAGAACAATATCTATGAATACGTGTACCATCAACATGTTCTACTAAATCTCTGTCTTCAACTTTGTTGTTGGATAAGTAAATTACAAATGTTTTATAGATAAATTGTAAATAGTTGCTGCATCTTCTTTGCGTCTGGTGAAATCCAGCGATGTTTCTCAGCCAAAATGTATTCTCTATGGATATAAACAAAACTTTAAATCTCCTACTCGTTTCTTAATAAAAAAAAACGTAATAGCTGTTATAATAACTTTGCACTCAGATATTACTATCTTGTTGATTGAACATTTACTAGCCTTTTTATCAGGTACGCCTGACCATTTACCATGTAATACAAATCCTGAATCAGTCAGCGGCTCAGTGAGTTTAGCCAGGCAAATGTTGTGAAGCCGAATCTTGAAACCAAGTGGCTTTGAACGTTGCGTAGCTGTTTGTGCCAGATGGGCACAAACGTCTCTCAGGTTTGCAGAATACAAAAGAGAGAGGAGAAGCTGTCTGGATGAAAATGTGTTGCTGATGTCAGAGTGGTTCCAGATGATAGAAAAAGAACAGTAGCTTAAATAACCACTTGTTACAAACAAGATTTTACGAACACAACATTTGAGTGTATCACATTTGAAGCCCTTAGATCACAAGGGAACAAGACCAAACTCGGTGCCTCTTCTGCCAGCTACCATCAGCAAAAAGAGGCCACAGATTTCACATGTTTACCAAACCTGAACAAGGGGCAGACTGGTAAAACAGTGGTTTGGCGAGCCTTGATTTTGGCTGTGAGATTTAGATGTTATTGTCAGAATATGGTGTAGCCAACATAAATGAGGATCCATCTCGCCTTGTATCACTGCTTCAGCCTTGTGGTGGTGGCATAAAAGTATGGGCAATTGTTCTTGGCAAACATTGGGCCCATTGGTACCGGCTGAGTATCCTTGAAATGTCACAGCCGATGTGTAGAAACCAAACTGGTTTCTTGAACAGAACAACTAGTTCACCGTACCCCAATGGCCTTCAGTCATCAGATCACAATTAATTAGAGCAAATTTTAGAAATGGTAGAACAAGGAGCTCCCCATCACGAATACAAAGCTGAGAAATCTGCAGCAACTACGTCATGCTGTCAGGTCAATATGGATCGCTGACACCTCATTAAATATTATTGAACATTGTTAAAACCCTAACTTGGCATTAATTAAGGTTTGTTTTTCAAGAAGTTCAAACGCTACTGTTTTTCATACCAAATGAGAAGTGCTGTCTATCTAACGGTTCTTCTCAAACAGTCTTTTTCCAGAGATTTGACTGTCTGTAAACCAAAGCGTCCACCACATCTCACACGATGGATAAGTTTCGTATGATGTTCCAGTTCCTCCAGTCCAACCAGGAGTCTTTCATGAATGGGATTTGTGGCATCATGGCATTAGCGAGCGCCCAGATGTACTCTGCCTTTGAGTTCAGCTGCCCCTGCATGCCAGAGTACAACTACACCTACGGTATCGGGCTTCTCGTCATCCCTCCCATATGGTTCTTTCTGTTGGGCTTTGTCTTGAACAATAATGTGTCGGTGCTCGCCGAGGAGTGGAAAAGGCCCACAGGGAGCCGGACGAAGGATCCGACAGTCCTGCGCTACATGTTTTGTTCAATCACCCAGAGGTCGTTGATCGCCCCTGCGCTGTGGGTGTCGGTCACCCTCATGGACGGGAAGAGCTTCCTCTGCGCTTTCAGCATCAACTTGGACATTGAAAAGTTTGGGAATTCCAGCTTCATTAAAGGGATGTCGGAGACAGAGAAGATTCGACTGCTGGCCAGAATCCCCTGCAAAGACCTGTTTGAGCATCAGGAAATAAGAGTGGCGGCAACACGGTACATCAAGTGTATATCACAGGTATGCTGAGTTGGTTTTACTTTTTCTCAGGGGAAAACACAAGAAGAAGTAATGCAAATCAGAAATATGACTTTAAAAAAAACGACAAGGTTGTTGTTTTGGCGTCCCTGAAGTAAATAAAGTAAAAAATCTGTTTATTTGACACCATTCAAAATATTAAACCACAAAATGGATCATCAAAAAAAAATCAAATCAAATCAACAGAAAATCATTCTTATTATTTTCAAAAATACCACTTGAATTTGGAAGCCCTTGAATTCGGCCATACTTATTCAAAGTGTGGCCGAATGTTCCCTGAGATTTAACACAAGACATAAAAGGTGCAAGAATTTCCATATTCTGATGTATAATTGAAGTGCATGATTTTGTTGGCTTAGCTCAAGAAACATTTTCATCCATCCAACTTTTTTACACAGTCGAAGCACTGAAGAAGGACATGCAACTTAAACCCCTTTCAAGTCAAACCGTCACAATAAAGACACAACCACAAACTCCCATTGTGGATCACATTGCCCTTTCACAGAAAACCTAAAGCCCGGGGCACACAACTCATACAAATAAAATGCATAAGTTGTGTGTTCCTGATTTGCCCCATGTAGGACGTGGATGTCTGTCACAATCCTCACACAGATGTGCAAAAAGTGAATGCACTGCTTTAATAGAAGAACAATGTTGTGAGTCATTATCTGCATCAGGTTGTGCTACTCAACATATCGCTCAGGTCACGTACACTGTAAAAAAAAATCTTTAAATTACGGTGAATACTGACAGCTGTGATTAACAGCTTTGTCCATGAACTAATCAGCTGCTGCCGTCTCTGCGTTGTTGAAAATCACTACATCATGAATGTTCCCCAAAGCTGAATAAATTCCCTGACAGATCATACAGGATTGGGTGGAATACTGGTGGTTACAAACACATAACCCTCCTATTTTGTGTTTTGAAACCTTTGGTTGAATTTTAAAGTAGATCTAAATTTATTATGTCATTGTTTGTAGTTTTTACCTGTTTGTTATAAGAAAGCGGGGGCTAAGCTAATGTGGCCCCTGGGTGTTTAAAACTCTAGCAGCTGCAATGTTTTAAATTCCTCATAAGAAAATGTGGCTCTGTTTCACCTCTAATATCCCTCACTGGTTACATTTACTTTTGTGACGTTGCTTTTTTTTTCCTAAATGTGTTATTCATGAAACTGAGACCTATTTTGGTCCTCTCATAAAACGCCCACGCTGCTGTTTAGGTCTCTGAAGTCCCGTATCTTGCAAATGAAACGTTTGTAACATAAATGAAGTTGGTGAGCTGTGAAGGTTGCAGGAAGCCAGTAGAATGTGTTGTTTCCACTTTACCAAGTGGAAAGATTAACAAGAAAACGAAATCCATCACAAGCAAATGCAGTCTGTTTGTTCGTCTAAAAACCTCGGCTCTTTGCAGGCATGCGGGTGGATTTTTCTCCTCATGATGACCTTCACCGCCTTCCTCATCCGGGCCATCAGGCCGTGCTTCACCCAGGCCGCTTTCCTCAAAACCAAATACTGGTCCCATTACATCGACATCGAGCGCAAGATGTTCGATGAGACCTGCAAGGAGCACGCGAAGAGCTTCGCCAAAGTGTGCATCCACCAGTACTTTGAGAACATCAGCGGCGAGATGCAGAGCCTCCACCGCCACCGCTCCGGGAAGGACGACGAGGGCGACGAAGACGAGGACAAGAGAAGTGACGAAGACAAGCTGCTGGGCATCAGGGCCCAGGACGACATGAACAAGGTTCTGTGGAACTGGCACACGTGTAAGCCGGCGCTGGCTCTGAGGAAGGACCAGATGGACGGTGAAAACGACAGCAAGCTGACCGGGAAGATAAACGAGGGATTCAATGGGTTCGCAAACGGACACGCCCACGAGACCAAAAAAAAGGAATGGGCGGTGTATTACAGTAAGGTTTAAAGAAAACTGAGAGAAAACACTTACAAATGAACTCGCAGGCAGACACTGTGTTCCAGAGATGTGGCCTTTACTTTTGTTTCCTCGCCTTAGAAGCTAAAGGAAAAAGACTTTGTTACTTTGACAAAGTCTGCAACTATTGCCCATCTCTTCATATTTTGCTTCCATTCAGTTAGACTTTTTTTCCCCCTTCTTTTAAAGTTACATTGGCCAATATCTCCTACAGATTTCCAAAGGCTTTTCAGAGCTTTTCTTTCCACGTTTACTGTTTCCTCCATCATTTAATTTCAGGACCTGATCCTTTCAGAGGAGTGTCTTTCGTTACGCTGCGTCGCTCTGACCTATGAATTATGTAAGACATCTAAATTCAATGAATTAATCCTTGTTCTATGACAAAGAGCAGAAAAAAGTTAAATTGGCTCTGAGTCACGTAAAATGGCATTTTAGTATTAGCAAAGGGATTTTTGAGACCAACTCTTTGTGTTCAAGGTCTGAACCGAAAGGCAGGACCCAAATAGGAAATTCTCAGAGTGGCCTTTGGAAACCCTAAGAAACGGTTTGATCAACATTGAGAAAGTAACGTGTTCTTTAGAGAGAACATATATATATTGCACCTGTAACAGCTCTGACTGAATCTCATTCCAGTGCACAATTTCTAAAGTTGCAGCTTTTATCCATTGTCGTGGCACTTCCTTCAGGACGAGTAGCCTCTGCTAATGTTCAACACTAAATAATGCAAATAAAAACTGAAACCCTGAACATGTATTCAAAGTCTCAAACTGACTATGTTAGGTTAACTGGGCGCTCTGAAGTGAGAGCCTCTCTCCCCAACACAAAACTTACGACGTGAACAAATATACCGCGCATGATAAGAGCATACCTGATATTAAAGTCTGGGAAATAACTATTGCCACTTTTCAGCCCGCCACCCTTTTCACTATCTTATTTAAGAGGTTTAAATAATTTGTCGCTCAAATAGGACTGTGATAATTAACTACTATTAATGATAACTGTACAGTTGTAATCAGGGGAACAAACAGATCCTAAGAATATCAGTGAAGTCACATTATGACTCAGCAGAACTTTCCTTGGGAAAGGAAGTAGGAACAAAGTGCTGCAACTTAAATGCACCAAAGTAACTGATCAGCAGCAGGCATGAGCAACTCTAAAATGTAGGAGCTGAGGCAGCATGTTGAGAAACTAAATCTGAAGAAAAAAAAAAAAGACAAACAACTATAGATAGCTCACACTTATTTATTGCAGCACACTGGAAAGCCCTCACTGTTAACACTAACCACTGTTTGTGTGGCTGTCATTAAAACGTCCATACCCCATTAAAATGTGGGTGACAGTGAAGCAGCTGGATTCAGCATCACTCTGTCAGCTGTAGGCAGACGTTACACAATAGCACTGAAATGATAAAAGTTCCCGGGTGTAGGAATGTTGCGTCCGCCTTTTTCTTCCGAGTTGGACATCCTGCGTTGTAACTTTTTTTTAACTTCGGAGCAAATGTAAAGTTCATGCAAAAACAAAAGAATGCGGCTTCCGGAACATTCACAAGTGAGAATGAAAACAAGGTCAAGATTTGCATCTCGTTGGCTCGTTGTGCTTTTTGTTGGGTTTTTCTTTTGTTTGTTTGTTTGTTTGTTTGTCAGTGACACTCTTGTACAATTTCACACAGAAAGAGGACTATTTTTTCCTTTTCTTTTATTTTCTTACATCTGTCATTGGAAGTGTTGTTTAAAGCCCCTTTTTTACATGTCTGCAGTTACAGCTGATTATGCTTATCTGAGTGAACTCAGGAAGTTGTTGATTCAATGTTGTTGTCTTGAAAACCATATTTCACAAGAGTGCGTGCTATTTCTAAAACCGCCGACCTGTTGCCGTCTGGCAGCAGAAGGTTCGGTCTGTTATTCGATTTTCAAACGCTAACGCAGAAAACAGAGCATCGGGATAACGCCACAAAATTTTTGCTGGATTAAGAAAGTTTTAAAGAAGGTTTTAAGGGAACTGAGAACCTAATAACAAAAGTTATTGATTGTTTTGGTTTCTCTGGTTTGAATTTGAGCATATGAAGATCATTTCTGCCAGCAACACTATTAATGGTAAAGCAGATATTTAGGCTTGAAGTAAGGTTTTAATTCATTTGAGTTCATCCAATTAATACACTGGATTCAATAGGACACTTTAACCTAAACGTAGATCTCAGAGATAAACCTGAGCGAATTAATAACCGTATTAATTCACAACCAATTTTCACGTCAGCAATGAGGGCAATTATAGGCAACAGGTTTAACATAGATAATGTGTTTATGCACAACCGGGTTAATGCTGGTGATGCTTTTGTGAACACTGACAAAGAAATTGGTAAAAATACATCAGCCATGTTTACAGTATCAGGGTTGTGTTTTTTTTTTTTTAGAACTGCAGCTCAGCCAGCTGTTGCGGGAACTCAGAAAAGCCAATAAAGGGTGAATCTGATTTTCTTTCAATTAGCTGTTCTAAATCCACAGAAGTCTAATAATCTTGTCAGTCCACAAATGTGCAAAAGAAAACGTTTTTCTCATTGTAGCCTAAGCTCGTGGTTAGGGTGAACATGAGAGGTTAAAGTGTCAAAAGCCTGAGAACGCTGAGTCAGATGCTTCTCACAGAAACAGCAGCTTAAAACGACGACAAAAAAGGAAGAGTTCAAATTTCTTCATTAAGTTTAGACTCATGGCAACAATTCAGTCAGAACATTGCCTGATTTGGGTTCCCCACTGAAGTGACGCTGTTTTACCAAAGTTAGATTAAATTAGCTCACAAGACTAATTGATATAAGACATGAAGACAGCAAGCATTATAGAAATATGGCCCTGTTGCTTCTCACAGACAGGGAGTTCAAAAGCAGATGTAAACTTTGGATTTGTTAGCAGCTGTTAGCTGGCGTTGTCATGCTCAAAATTGTTTCTGTCCGTCACTGTCACACCTTTCTTTATATACAGAGTACAAAAAATGCTGCCACAGTTGCAACAAACCCCAAGGGCTAAAAAACAGACTCCACAGACATCGACAGTCAACTTTACAGCAGGAAACATGCGTCCCTACCCCCTGCAAAGAGCTGAACAAGATATTAATTTAGTTCATGTTAATGCAATATTTAGAGTTGTGGCTAACAGAACGGCTTCGCTCAGTTCCTCCTCTGCCATTGCTAAAACTACAGGCAGCCTTCAGTTTCAAACCAGCCCATAAAATCGACTCCATCGATCACAGCTTGTCCTTCGGCGTGCTGATTGGTCTGTTTTAAAATGCTGCCAGAGAAATCTAAGTAAATGGGAGAAATTCAGACGGCCTAATTTTTGAAGTTCACACCTCGTATTTTACTAATGGGGGGATGGAGGGGAGGTGGTGGAAATGCCATGCATCCCACTGACTCTTCCTTCTCTGCCCTCCCTCCATGCCCCCCCTGGGGGATTACTGGAGCAGCCCTCCCCTTGACCCTCTCCTTGCCCGATAGTCCAGCAGCTGTTAGGGTTAGGCCTGCTGGTGTGGGGGTGTGTGTCCAGCTTGTGATTTGCTGCCTGCATTTTATTATTATTATTATTATATTTTCATAAATTCTTCCTGGTTCTGAAGATTTCTGTTTATTTCACAGCTTTTTATTTTTTTATTAAATTTTTTTAAAGGCAGAAATCATTTATTCCCTACCTGACCTCCATTTCACACACACTGCTTTGTTTTGGTTGTCAGGACATCAGCCATCGTTGGGCTCCCTTGACTTTGCTGCAAGTCTCTCTCTCTCTCTCTCTCTCTCTCTCTTTCACTCACACACACACATATATGCATGGGAGTGTATGGAGGAGGAAGAGTGGTGGAGTGGAGGGGTGGAACGAGGAACGCGCAAACGCACGCACGCCGTCGTGCTCGCAGGCGCACCCCCTTCCGCTCCCCTCCCCCCGACCCCCACCACCATCCATTCGTCGACGCCTGGCTCATTCTGGCTGGCCTCCGCCTGCAGATTGGAGGACGGAGGCTGCGAGGGAGGGCTGACGGAGGAGAGAGTTGCGAGGCAAAACGGCTGGTCACATGAGCAGAGATCTGTTTACAAACCCGAAGCAGAGCAGCAAGAGACAGGAGCGAGGGAGAGGGAAGAAGAAGAAGGAGGGGGGCGAGAGAGAAAAAGGCAAACTGCAGGCACCATTATGGACTGAAAAAAAAAACATAAAAAAAAGGAGCAAAAGACTCGGGGTGAGGAGGAGGAGGGGGGGAGAAACCTGCCATGACAAAGCCAGCTGGAGGTGTGAGAGGCTGACAAACACGCTCCGCCTTTTGTCTCTGGTTGTTTTTCTTTCCTTTTTTCTTCTCTTAAGCGAAGGAGCAGATGGTTGGAGGGAGAGTAGGATCCCCCTCCCTACGCACGAGCGAAACACGCGCGCGCATCTTCTCCGGGTGTCACACAAACACACAGCAGCGGCTGTAGAGGACCGCTGGGGACTGCATGGAGCTGTCCTCACTTCGTTTGCTCTCGGGGAAGGAGAACATCGCCGCCGAGGAGGAGCACCGACTGCAAGACCGGAGGACTGGGGCGAGAGGAGCCCGGAGAGCGGGGTGAGACCTGTGAAAACCCCCTGTTTGGGAAGAAAAAACGAAAAAGAAAACAAAAAGCTGCTTTATAGGAGGAAGACGACGGCGCGGGTTGATGTTGGATTGTTGCCGTCGTTGAGGGTTTTGTCATTTGGACGCTGGATGTCATTGTGACTGGAGAGAGGTTGTGGTGGTTGGGGAGAGGAGACGACACCGCAAAGTGACGCAAAGTGAAGTCAAGGAGGCTCTTTCCCCTTCTCCCTGGTAGAAATGTGAGTATTTCCTGTTTGCGAGCTGCTTGTTGTTTACGATTCGGTGAGGTTTTTGGCTTTTTCTTCTTCTGTTTTTTTTTTTTTTTTTTAATAACAAATTCTCACTCGTCTCACCAGGCCTCTCTGCTCCTGTTTGTTCTCAGCCATGTTTCTTTGTTTTCTTCTTCTTCTTCTCCTCTCTCCTTTGGTGACATCATGCAGAAACATCTGAGGTCCCCCAGACCCAAACCTTCGCCGCCTGAACTCAACCCACCCCGGAGTGGTTCGTCCAGATTTGGGAGAGTTCTGTGCAGCCCCAGACTGCTGAGCCGACAACAACAACAACAACAACAACAACAACAAAAAGAGAACCACACCTCCCGAGGATTTCTGGACTCTGAAAATCTCCCATGACTTGTTTTCTGAAGGAGCTAACGCAAAGATCCAGGTCAGCGAGAGAAACCTTTCGCTGAGAAAGACGCAAGTTCTGGCATCTGAGCCTCCGGATCCACTGCTTCTGGCGCTTCTCCAGTCTCTTCTCCTGACAGGGCCCTGAATTCACTGCTGCCTCCTTGGGAGTCGAATTTCATGCAACCGTTCCAATGGTGTAACGGTAAGTGAGTGGATTTCACCGCCAACCAGTAAACACATGCGAGGTGGCGGCCGTCTGCAGACTTGACTGACGAGATTGAAATAAAGCAGGAAGTAACGTGCGTGTGAAAAAAGCTGAATTCAAGGATATTTTAAACCTATCTTGTTGTTATTTCCTGGCACCTGTTGTCTTAGGCTGCACACTGCTGGTCAGCTGGCGGAGAAAAACAAAAAACGAAAGAAAAAAACTCTGAGACAGACACAGATGGCTGTTTGGAAATATTTTCAGTCGCAAAAACACCCTGAGAAACTTTAATGGTCGTGTTGTGGAAACCAAAGGAGTGTCGTTGGTAG